CCCCAGCCCCAGCAGCTTTGGCCTGTTCTCTCTGAGCAGAGCCTGGAAAGCACTGGAGGAAGAGGCTGGGAGAGCCCTCCATGCCCAGAAGGATTCCTGAGCCCAGCCCTCAGACCCTCAGGGTCCTAGGGAAGGATGTGGCCCCATCCCCAAAGATCTATGCTGGGCTGAAGATTGGAGTTTGATCAGGGTTCTGATGTCTCTTGAACATCACAGTCTGGGGGCATTTCCTTGGTGTCAAGCTCTTTATACAACCTCATTCCAGCCTCAGAAGTAGGAAATATCCCCACTTCAAAGATGAGGAAACTGGAGCTCAGAGAGGTTAAGTTACTTGCCTAGGATTACACAGCTGAAGAGGGATGGAGGCCTGATTTTACTCCAAGATTGCCTTGGGTGAAAGCCTCAAGATCTTATGAGTATTTCTCAAAGCTCTTAATGAGTACTTCTCAAACATTTCTAGCTAAAGCCCACCTGCCCAACTTCTCCACGCTTTCCCACGTTGGAAGTGAGGGAAGTCATGTGTCATAACAAGAAAGCATGGAGGGACATGCTTATGAAGTTTTCTATGTATTTCTGTGGTTTTAAACCATGTCACACATGCTTGGGAAGGCTGCCTGGGGCCCTCCAGGAACGAGTCCCTGCTGTCACCTCTGCACTCACCTGCTTAAGTTTTGCACATGCGAATGTCCACACAGACTTCATGGGGGGTTTTGCCATCCATGATGTCCTTGGAGATGCGTTTAAGAGACATCCTCATGGCCTTCTTGCAGATGCCTCTCATGAAGGATCTCATCTTGCTGCACACCCGGGATGCAGTTTTGTTGATGATGTCCTGGAGTGGCAGAGTCATGGTGGGACACAGGAATCAGGTGAGCCCTGCCCAGCTCTGCCACCTTGCAGGCCCCAGCAACCCTGGGCCTGAGCAGCTCTGGGTGCAAGGAGCTGGCATCAGGTGGCCATGGGAGGAGAGACTGGAGAGACAGGGCCCAGCTCCCACTCTTCGGTCCCCAAGGCTCTGGCCAAAGCCTGGCCAATAGGGGCTCTTGAGAGAAGGACATTTGGCCCTGCCGGGGTCTCACCCCCTGTCCTGCCCCCTGTCTTCTATGTGGAGAATGGTGTCCAGGTCTGCCTGGCCCATTTTAAAGGCTCTGCCTATGGAGATCCCTGGGCACAGGGCCTGACTGGTCCTCCACCTACAGTGGTTGTGTGGGGAAGGTTAGAAGGCAATCAGAGCTTGAAGCCCTGGCACGTTCGATTTTAAAATATCTTCTACTGCCATCCCAGTAGAGAAAGGCAAATCTGAGTACCCAGGCTTGAGGGTGGGCCCTGAAGTGCCAAGATGCTAAGTAGGTTGAGGAAGTGAAAGAGAGGGAGAGTAAGATGATGGTTCTTGGTCAAGACATATACACCTGTTAAGCATTTATTCAGAGTCCAAGTGGAACAGAGCACATCCCACCCCTCCACTCCTTTAAAAGTCTTAGGCAACTTGTCAGATGGGAATTATTATCCACCCTATTCCACAGATGAGAAAACTGAGGCTCAGAACACATTCATGATTTGTCAGGCCATGCAGCTAGTTGCAGATCAGGAATTTACCAGGACTGACTTAGGCCCTGGAACCCGCCCCTCAAAGCTCTGCCCTGAGAACTGCCCGGAAAGCACACCCACTCTTCTTCCCACAGTCACACTCCCAGAGTGTCGTGATTTCTCAAGCATCTCTGAAGTCCATCCACAGACACTCAAGGGACCCACGGACCCCCTGCTGAGCAGCTCTGGACCAAAGGAGATCCGTCCCGGCTTCCCACTCCCCTGACCAGCAGGCGTGGGCCCCATAGGCCTCACCTCGTCAGGTTGATCTCCCACCATGCTCTTCAGCTGCTGGATCATCTTCTCGCAAACCCGACATCTGATGCCCTGCCCCTCTCTTGTGGTCAGCAGGTTACCCTGTCAGGAAAGGAAGCCCCTCAAGGTGTCTCTCAGACACTCCCAGGCCAGCAGGATCATCTAGATCTTTCTATCTTAAGGGCCTGAACCAGGCTGACTGGCCCCTGCCCACCCTCCTGCTAGTCTTAGAGGGACTAAGAGGCCCCGGAACTTACAGGACACCCACAACTCCTCTTCCACCCTGGCATGTACCCCTCTTCTGTTCTCCTGTCAGACCCCAGGGGACCCTCTTGGGGAGGGCCCAGCCAGACTAATATAGCACCCCACCCACCAGGCACGGGTGTGAACAAAAGCAGGGTCTTCAGCTTACAACCTCTCCTTCCCCTCCCTGTTCCTTAGAGCCCCCCAGCCCTTGCCCCGGTATTATCTAGGGAGGAGAGAAAGGAGAGTCTGTGGAGGCGAGCAGGAACCTGGTACCTGGAGGCCCTCCTCGGCCAGGACCTGGAAGAGCTGCTCTGTGTCACTCAGGTGGGCCATTGCCCCGTTGGAGCGTCCAAAGGTCAGACTAGAAAAGGCCCGACCTGGGGAAGAAACAGCATCAGCATCCTCCATAGGCAGAAAGGGAGGGAAAATCAGTTCTCTTGGCTAAGCCAAGCCTAGGAGGTGCCTGGGACCAGGACACAATGAGTCCTTGTGAGAGGTCCCCAAGCCTCTCCTCCCACCCTGCCCTGGGGCTCCCTGACCCACTCTCAGCAAAAACAAACAAACAAAAACCCAAGCTTTCAAGTTCCTTCTGAAAAGCCAGAAGGAAAAGATTGCTCCCATCTCCCCTACTCACACACACACACACACACACACACACACACACGCACGCACGCACACACACACGCACACACAAGGATTGATCTGAAAGGAAACTTCCCTCATCTCCTTTCAAGAGATTGTCTTTCTTTTTCTCTTTCTTTCAGAAAATGTCCCAACCCATTTTCCCTTCCAGCTGAGTCCTTGGCAAGCACAGTGACCCCAGGTCCTGGGAGGGAGGGAGGGTGTGCAGAGCAGGGAGTGAGTCTTGGACAGTGAGAGGTCCCCATTCACTCACAGCCTTGTCATCTCTTAGCCAGCATGGGCCAGAAGAAATGTCAGATCTTCTGCTGAGGGCCGGTGACCTTGGTAACATAGATGAAGACCAGAGCCCAGGGGGGAAAAGGGGGTCCCAGGCCATACAACATGACCAGCAGAGTTGGGGCTGGAGCCCCAGTCGGGGCTCACTTCCTTCCCGCTGGCTGTCTGCCCGCATCGGCCAGGTCACTGACAAGCTGCAGCTGAACCTGGTTCTGAGGGAAAGGCCTCTGTGATGATGGCAAGAAAGCTGGGGAGGGACTGGGGAGGGAGGGCTATCAGGATCTACACTGAGGGGACTGTCCTTACCTGGGGAGCCCAGGAGCGCCAAGGTCAGGAGCAGCAGGGTCCAGGAGGTCATGGTGGGCAGCTGCCAAGGGACCCCTCACACCCCATTTAATGGAGGCTGGGAACTGGGCAGTCTGGCCTTGCTGGGTCCCTCTCCTCTGATAGGCTAGGCCACCTCCCCACGTCACTGGGTTTATCACGAACACCAACGCCAATTGGGAGGAAAGGGTGGGGACAGGTGGTAACTCAGAGGTCCCACGCTTCCTATCATCACCCCCCCCCCC